AATTTTTGTTTCGAAATTCGGATAATTCCATATTTATCTTTTTATTGAGTACATTAATTTGGTGTCTATCTTCAGTGTCTCTATAACGTTTCCAATTTCGTTTATAGATGTTTCGGAACTGGATCATTTCCTTGATGTTTTGAGGTAATTGAATAGACTTATTCATAAATTTACACTTCGGAACGCTCACATCAATAGCCTCGTCGATAATGTTGGTGAAATTTTGTAATAAATGATCTATATTTAATTCAGTTGTGTCATCCAAATTGTTTAATTTTAGTTCCCTGCTAATGTACGATTTAAATCGACTCCATTTGGCTTTCTTGAAATTGTAGAAAGAATGTTCAGTTTTACCAATGGAGCTGTTTATCTCTACTTTAATTGGGAGATGGTCAGATGATAAATTATTTATTGTTTTTACAGAGCATATATAATTTGGGATATCAGTCAGTAATATATCCAATGTAGATGCTTGTCTTCTAGGGTCTGCAGGTATATAAGTGACATTTTGCGGGTATATAACCTCGAATGGACTGGTTTGAATCTTGTCTTGGAGTAGATTTCCCCAAAAATTACTTCTTCGGCATCCCCAATTTTGGTGTCTGCAGTTAAAATCTCCTCCAAGGATGATGTTTTTAGTATTTGTCATTTTGTGAATATCCGATAAAAAGTGTTCTTTTCGTTGCAAATTTCGTGAACCTCCCGGGAAATAACAAGCATATATTTCTATTGCAGTATTATTTAAATAAACCTGAATACCAATATTTTCAATAAGTTTTGTATTTAGAGGTTTTAGCATCTTATGTTGGATATTTCTTCTAATTAATACAGCAACGCCTCCACCTCTTCTATCACGGCGATCATTACGATAGCATGTGAAGAATTGGTTTTTGATAGAAATACTGGCATTTAGCCATGTTTCACATATAAGACAAATGTCAATCTCATTTATGTTTAAAAATTGAATAAGTTCTTCTTGTTTATTCCTTACGCCTCTAGCATTTCAGGAAATTATTTTTAAGTTATTGCTCAATTTAGAAATTTAAAAGCAATGCCAGTTATGACATCAAACTGGTCAAGTTTTGTTTTACAATTTCTTAATTTAGAAATTAATTCAAATGTTAAATTTTTTAATTCCTCAATTGAGAACAAATTATTTTGTTCAGTTTGTTTAATATTTGCCCAACTATTTTCAGGAGGTAATACTTGATTTAGTTTGTTAGGAAATGTATTATTATAGTTCTGGTACGTTGAATAATTTGTTTGGCTACGAATATTCCTTTTCGGCTTCATTCTATCTCTTATTTCAATGTATTTTAATCTACTGGGACATTGAGTAGAGGTTGCCTTATGATCACCACCACAATTTGCACATTTTAAAATATTTTCATTACAGTTTGCTGTAATATGATTTCCTGCACAATTTGCGCAAAACGATTTAACATTACACCTACTGGATCCATGTCCACATTTGACAGTTGTGACACTGAGTTTCGAACCACCCATTTCACTTTCATATACTATGATATATATGTGTAAAAAATTTTCGTTTGATATATATGTGTAAAAATCGTTTAACTTATGTGTTAATAAAAATTTATGTTTATTTCATACGTTTATACGAATTGTGTCGATTTTTTGTAGATCACTTTATTGAAGGTTCTAGATGTCAATGGGAGAAATGTTCTCCATTAAATTTCACTATGGGTCCACGAACAGAAACCTCTATTTATTATACATTTTGTGTTAGAAATAGGTAATCATATCAGTTAATAACAATTTAGGTTAGTTTCATAGGGGTTTTGTCGAATTGTGTCGATTTTTTGCAGATCACTTCATTTTAGGTGCTTCATGTCAATGGGAGAAATGTTCTCCATTAAATTTTACTATGGGTCCTCGACTAAATGTTGGTCATAAATACAATGGATCTAGGGGAAACCATAGGGTAACAATTAAGAATAAATATTTTTTAGGTTAGGTTACGAATTTTGTAGGTTTGTCATAGACGATTCGACTTTCGGTGGTCGATGTCAATGAAAGAAATTTTCTACATCAAATTTCACTATGGGTCCACGAACAACAGAAACCTCTATTTATTATACATTTGTTTATTTTAAATTTTACAAAAATCTATATATATATATTTAAGTATTGATATAAGAGTGTTTACTTAAATTTACAAACAAAAAATAAATATATATAATTGTTTTCGTAATAAAAAAAAAACAGTATATAAAATAATATTTCCTTTTCATGGTGTTTTTGTAAAAACAATATAGTTAAAATAGTATTTTTTTTAATTTGATGAAATAGAAAAAAAACATTTGTAGTATAACAACAAAAGGCTTGATTACTTTTTTGTGATCTATTAAAAAAAAAAATAAATCATGTGTATTTTCTCTTTGTTTTTTTTTTTTTTAATAAAAATTATTAAAGATTTGAAATATTTTACAATTTGTAGTTTATTTTTTATTGTTTTTTTTTTTTTTTTTTTTCTCCATGTAAATAAACAAAGACTATTAGAATTATAATTTCTCTCATATACACTATTGATATACCAGTAATAAAACAAAAAAAATATATATATAAAAATTTTCAAATAGTCCAAAAATCCGGAAAAACGGACTCCATTCAAATGGAAGAGATGGGTATTTGCATTGTTTTCCTTTCACACGATGCAGATCATGCACACTTAAACGGCTACCGGGTGCTATACAAACAGGCAATTTAACTTGAAATATATTAAATTGAAAATAAAAATAAATTTTATTATTTTTTTATAAATATTTTTTTTTATAAGAAAAAATGTTTTCAATATTTCCAAATAAAAAAACAATTATAAATTTTTTTATTAAAAAATACATGGGAGCTATATCCAAAGTTGGTCCCATATTGATAATTTTTGGTGCGTAGGTTTTCCACCCAGTGAGAATCCAAAATATTAAATTACAGCCATATCGATTCGAAAACTTTTTCAAAATCCCCAAAAAAATGAAATTTTGAGCCTAACCTTACATGGGTGCTATATCCAAAGTTGGTGCGATAATGATCATTTTTGGTGGGCAGGTTTTCCACCCGATGAAAATCCTAAATATTAAATTACAGCCATTTTGGTCGGAAAATCTGTTCAAAATCGCAAAAAAGGGAAATTTAGACTCTAACCTTACATGGAAGCTATGCCCAAAGTTGGTCCGACATTGATAATTTTTGGTGCGTAGGTTTTCCACCCAATGAAAATCCTAAATATTAAATTACAGCCATTTCGGTTGGAAAACTTCTTCAAAATCCCAAAAAAGAAAAAAATAGACCCTAACCTTACATGAGAGCTATGCCCAAAGATTTTCCGAAATTGATAATTTTTGGTGGGCAGGTTTTCCACCCAATGAAAATCCTAAATATTAAATTACAGCTATTTTGGTTGGAAAACTACTTCAAAATCCCAATAAAGAAAAAATGTAGACCCTAACCTTACATGGAAGCTATGCTCAAAGTTTTTCCGATATTGATAATTTTTGGTGGGCAGGTTTTCCACCCAATGAAAATCCTATATATTAATATACAACCATTTCGGTTGGAAAACTTCTTCAAAATCCCAAAAAAGGGAAATTTAGACCCTAACCTTACATAGGGGCTATGCCCAATGTTGGTCCGATATTGATAATTTTTGGTGGGCAGGTTTTCCACCCAATGAAAATCCAAAACATTAAATTACAGCCATATCGGTTGGGAAATTTCTTCAAAATCCCAAAAAAGGAAAATTTAGACCCTAACCTTACATGGAAGCTATGCCCAAAGTTGATCCGATGTTGATAATTTTTGGTGGGCAGGTTTTCCACCCAATGAAAATCCTAAATATTAATATACAGCCATTTCGGTTGGAAAACATCTTCAAAATCGTAAAAAACGAAAATTTAGATCCTAACCTTACATGGAAGCTATGCCCAAAGTTGGTCCGATATTGATAATTTTTGGTGGGCAACTATTTAATATTATTAAAAAAACTGTCATAACGTTTTTATATAAAAACATTCTTAAAATTTTTTATAAAAAACTTCCCCAAAATTTTTTATAAAAAGCCTTTTCAAAATTTTTTTAGAAAAAAAATTTTCAACATTTTTTTATAAAAACAAAAACTTTCTCAACATTTTTTAGAAAAAAAACTTATTCAATTTTTTTAGAAAAAAAACTCAAATTTTTTTATAAAATAAAGCTTTCTCAGGGATTTTTATAAAAAAAAAACTTTCTTAGGGATTTTTATAAAAAAAAAACTTTCTTAAAATTTTTATAAAAAATTGTAGTTGCATTTTTTTCTATGAAATGTTATTTTATGAATTTTTTTCTTTGTGTTTTAATTGTAAAAAAATATTTTGATTTTTTTCTCAAAAAAACTTTTTAAATTTTTATTATAAAAAATCCACTTCAATTTTTTTATATAATTTTTTTATTTTATTTTATATAAAAAAATATTTTTTTAAAGGATTTTTTTTCTCAATTTTTTTTAATTTATTTTTTTTTTAATTTAATTTTTTTTTAAATTAATTTTTTTTTAAATTAATTTTTTAACTTAATTTTTTTAATTTTTTTTTAATTTATTTATTTTTTTAATTTACTTTTTTTTTAATTAAATTTTTTTAATTTAATTTTTTTTAATTTAGTTTTTTTTTAATTTAGTTTTTTTATTTAATTTTTTAAGTTATTTTTTTTAATTTAATTTTTTTTAAATTTATTTTTTTTTTTGATTAAAAAAAATTATTGAATTTTCCATACTATAAAAATGTTGAGTTTTTTTAATTTAAATAAATCTATTTTGTTTATTTTTTTTTTTCATTAATTTTACTTTCCCACTAAAATGTCTCCCCCTCCCACCTAGTTACCTCCCAGCCGGGAGGTGTCTTTAAAATGTACACAGAAGAAATAAAGAAAGAAGGAAGAAGAAAAAATCACCTTTGGTTGTTGTTGTTTTTGTTATTGTTGTCATAATGCAATATTAAAGATATATATCAACGTTTATCGGATTTATTATTAGCAGGCACCGACAGACGGGTACGCAGGGTATGATGTGTTGATGAGGAGGAGGATCCACCACCACCACTAGTTGATGTAGAATTTTTACCATTTGCTGTGGATTTTTCCTGGCCCTTGGCCGAGGTCTCCGTCGTTGGATGACCGGCCAAGGATTGACGTCTTGTGGTTAAACGTTTTGATTGCCCCGAGGATGTGGTGTTGGAGGTGGTGGTTGAGGTTAGATTGGATGTTGTTGCAGAGGTTGTGGAGGAGGTGGAGGAAGCGGACGTGGGGGCTGTATCCTTCTGGCGTGTGTTGCTCGTGCTGCTGCTGGAGGTAGTAGTGTTGCTGCTGGCAGTGTTATTATTTGTTGAATTGCTGCTGCTGTCACTACGTTGGCGTTTAGTGGCCGGTTGGGGTACATCTAGAAATGTGGATGGAAAGCATTAACCAAAAAATAATAATAATGAATTGAAAATTAGAAAAAAACGCGATAATTGTACTCCCAGTATTTTCGTATTTAATCAGAACTCATCATATTGTAATTATAAAAATTATATTTATATTGAAAATTTCATTTATTCAACTCAATTGTTGTTGCTGCTGCGGGATTTTCTAATTGTCTATGTTCTTCTTCCTCATCCTCATTTTGTTTATAAACTTTATTATCATGATCTTGATCATCATCATCATTATGCTGTCCACCAGGATTATTAACAACACCACCATCATCAATAACACCACAGTCATCATCATCATCTGCTTCTAAGTAGTTGTAAATGTCCGGTGTCAGGGTAGAAGATTTTTTTAAATAATACATATTTTTTTCAAATGAAGAGAAAAACACATACAAACAAATATTTTTAGGTTTTTTTTTTTTTTTTTTTGAAAATTTTCTTAACAAAAAAACTTTTGCATGGAAACATGGTGTTGAAGGATGCATGTGGGTGTTGATAGGGGTGGATCATGATCGAATGATATAATGCAGCAGCTTTGTATTTGAAAGGATTTGAGACAATGTTGAACATATATATACATATACATATATATACAAAAAAAAATGAAATTCGGCTGGGCCGAAATTTTTATACCCTCCTGCATAATTTGAAGGTTAACCTTAGCTATGTATATCCAAAGTTGGTCCGATATTGATAATTTTTGGTGGACAGGTTTTCCGCCTAATGAGGATTCACAATATCAAATTACATCTATTTTGATTGGAAAACTTCTTCAAAATCCCCAAAAAGGGAAATTTGGACGCTAACCTTACATGGGAGCTATGCCCAAAATTGTTCCGATATTAATAATTTTTGGTGGGCAGGTTTTCCACCCAATGAGAATTCACAATACCAAATTACAGCCATTTCGGTTGGAAAACATCTTCAAAATCCCCTATCCTTACATGGGAGCTATGCCTAATGTTGGTCCGATATTGATCATTTGTGGTAGGCAGGTTTTCCACCCAGTGAGAAACCCATATATTAAATTACAGCCATTTCGGTTGGAAAACCTGTTCAAAATCGCAAAAAAGAGAAATTTTGAGGCTAACCTTACATGGGAGCTATGTCCAAATTTGGCCTGATATTGATAATTTTTAGTGCGCAGGTTTTCCACCCAATGAGAATCCAAAATATTAAATTACAGCCATTTCGGTTGGAAAACTTTTTCAAAATCCCAAAAAAGGAAAATTTTGAGCCTAACCTCCCATGGGAGCTATACCCAAAGTTATTCCGATATTGATAATTTTTAGTGCGTAGGTTTTCATTGAGGATTCACAATATCAAATTACAGCCATTTCGGTTGGAAAACTTCTTCAAAATCCAAAAAAAGGAAAATTTTGAGCCACACCTTTCATGGGAGCTATACCTAAACATGGACCTAGGTAGATAATTTTTGATGAGCCAGGTATTCCACCCAATGAGAATACAAAATATTAAATTACAGCCATTTCGGTTGGAAAACTTCTTCAAAATCCCAAAAAAGGGAAATTTGGACCCTAACCTTACATGAGAGCTATGCCCAAAGTTTTTCCGATGTTGATAATTTTTGGTAGGCAGGTTTTCCGCACATGAGAATTCACAATACCAAATTACAGCCATTTAGATTGGAAAATCCTGCTCAAAATCGCAAAAAAGAGAAATTTGGAACCTAACCTTACATGTGAGCTATATCCAAAGTTGGTCCGATATTGATAATTTTTGGTGCGTAGGTTTTCCCCCTAATGACAATTCAAAACATCAAATTACAGCCATTTCGCCTGGAAAACTTCTTCAAAATCCCCAAAAAGAGAAATTTGGATCCTAACCTCTCATGGGAGTTATGCCCAATGTTGGTCCGATATTGATCATTTTTGGTAGGCAGGTTTTCAACCCAATGAGAATCCCAAATATTAAATTACAGCCATTTCGGTTGGAAAACTTCTTCAAAATCGCAAAAAAGGAAAATTTTGAACGTAACCTTACATGGGAGCTATACCTTAATATAGACCTATATTGATAATTTTTGCCTGGCAGGTATTCCACCCAATGAGAATCCAATATATCAAATTTCAGCCATTTCGGTTGGAAATGTTTACGAAATCCAGCCTACTATGGAGGAGGGTATATTAAAAAAGGGATGCGAGATGCGACTTCGATGATGGTGATAATGATGATGTGTAAAGTGTCTCCCAAAATGTTGATGATTGGTTTGAGGGACCTTGCCGCCATGTATTTTCAGCTTGATAGAAAAAATTTTTGTATTTACATTGGCTAATGTGATGATTATGATGACACTGCTGTTGGCACACTGTGGTCGATGTTGATCGTATGATATTGAAGAAAGGTGAAATTTGTGATAAAAACCAAAAACCTTTTTTTTTTAAATAAACTTAACAGCAACCAAGCAAGCAAGCTAAGAAAAATAAAAATAACCTTCCATTTGAACCTACCTCTCATGGATAGCCTTCGTTTTGAATTGCCTTGTCCTCTATTATGATTATCCGAATCTTTAGTAGATGAGGCTGCAGTTTGTTTGCTTTCTGATTTCTTGTTATCCACCACACCATTTGTTGATAGACGACGTAAACCATTCGCGGTTGTTTTGTCATTATCAGGATCTTCACCAAGTGTAGATGCTGCTGTTTTCTTGGCAACACCTTTGCCGTTCTTTTCCGATGAATCATTGGCAGCATTACTGTCACTACCACCACCATTTACCATCGAATGGTTGGTACTGGAGCGTTTAAGGCCACCAGTAGCAGTATTACCCGAACGTTTACCGGGCGGTTGCATTGATTTTTTATTACCACTACCACCAGTCGTGGTATTTGTTGCTGTTTCGCCTTTTGATTTATTTGATGCCGCTGCCGCAGCAGAGAAATTGGTGGTGTTGTTGACTGCTGGCTTTTGTGGCGATTTCAATTTTTGTTCCTCCTGCTTGTGTATGCCAACCTCGAGCCAATATTTCAATTGCTGTTCTCGTTGCCGTGACATCATGGCCTGACCCTCGGGATATCTACTCAAGATACCCTGAAGTTTTTGTACAATCTTATAGAAAGTTTCCGGCGATATTAGACCATAATCGTACAGCGAACTCATGTGCAATATAAAATTACGATAGATATTCTTGCGTATGATTTCATAGCCATTACTATCGATGAACATTTCACAGGCAATTGGCAGCTGGCAGTCGCCGACAAAACCATGTTTCATCACGTGCAAATTCCATAGTTTCATTAGTTCCTTTTCGCCCTCGTTGACATCGGTGAATTCATCGATCATTTGGATGGTTTTTTGGCGTAACCACAAGGGGTCACTTTCACCCTCCGAATCGATGTCAAGTTCTTTGGGATGTACGGGTAGGCAGGTTTCGGTGTGGTGATAGAGACTAAAAAGAAAAAAAATATATATATTTTTTTTAATTAAAAAAAAAACCGAAAAAATCGAACCCACCGATTGTGCCCCGTAACATAGGGCCTTTGATTGGACAAATCATCCTCATCCAATTCCAAAAACTCATCCAAACATGTCTTTTGACGCCGCGGACGACACACCAAAAGATTGGTGACCGAGGTACGTCTGACGGGGCCACATGTACGAGCAAACGAACAACCCGACGGTCCAGCCAAATCATATGGCGATCCCGCATACGAACCATCATACGAATCATTGATGGTAACATCAATGCGAGCACCATTACCAGCTGCCGGCTGATAGGTGAAATTAAATCTGGCATGGCATAGCTTTAAATGCTTGAGCAGGGAATAGAGACGCATACAATCGAGGCCACACCAGGGACATATGACCTCTTGGGTATATTCGGTTTGTTGTCGTGTATTGTTGCTGTATAGAAAATTATAGACAATTTGTATTTTTTCTGTTTTGGCCAGGGGTTTTTTACTGGATGCAGCAGCAGCTGCAGCCGCCGCAACAGCCGATAGCTGGGAACGTGTTTTACCAGAACCAGCTTTGAGACAATTGTTGTTGTTATTATGTTCTTGCTCCTCCTCTTCGTCCTCCTCATCATTTGAGATTTCCGAAAACCTGGCATATTTCTCCATATCTTGGGCAGCGATTTCTTTGGGCAATTCATTGGCGGACCATGTTAGACGAAATTTCAATGTTGGATACTGGGCAAAGACATCAAATTTCATTGATATTGGAATGTAATTGTCGGGTAGTGTTTCCCAGCTACGTTTCTTTGGTGAAAATGATTTGATAATCGATGAATTGAGTTCCTGCAGGGCCGCATCATAATCACCCTCTGGTATACAGCCGATATTTTTCTCATACACAATTACCTCACAGCCATAAAGTTTGGTTGACATTTTAGAACGTTTGGTGGGGGTTTGATCTGAGGAACAAAAAAAGTTATTAAAAAAATATTTGAATTTTTTTTTATAAAAATAGTTTCCGACATACCATTATTACCATTTACCGTATTTTCATTACTGCTATTTGGTGTGACTTTAATACGAAACAATAGCTTATAGATTGTATGTTGATCGCCCAGAGATTGGATGGATTGTGCTGGTATAGATATGGCAGTCATTTGATCTAAATTGTCATGTGGATTATATACCACGGTTGAGGAGTAGGACTGAAAAAATAAACAAAAAATAAAATATATACTCAAGAAAAATTCGAAATATTTTTATGGGGGTGTGGGCCTAAAGCTCAAGGTGAACTAATATTGATAGTTTTTATGAGGAGATTAGCTACCCCACCAGGACCCAAAATATCAATTACAACCAATTCCGCTGGAAAATATGACAAAGATTGTCAAAATATCGAAAAATGGAGGTTAGGGTTATATGGGGTCTATACCTAAAGTTGTACCAAAATTTATAATTTTTGGTGGTGAGATTTGTAACTCAATGAGAAATCAAAATACCAAATTTTAATCAAATCGGTTGGAAAACACGGTCAAATTTCATAGAATTCAAAAATTGAGGTTAGGGCTATACCGCAATGTGGACCAATTGTGATAATTGTTGGTATGGAGATCTACCACTCAATGGAAAACCAAAATATTAAATTACAGCCAATTCGATTGGAAAACTCGGTCAAAATCGTCAATATTTCGAGAATTTAAGGTTAGGGTTATAGGGGGGCTATACCTAAAGGTGTACTAAAATTTATAGTTTTTGGTGGTGAGATTTGTAACTCAATGAGAAATCAAAATGCCAAATTTTAATCAAATCGGCTGGAAAATATGGTCAAATTTCTTAAAATTTAAAAAAAAAAATTGAGGTTATGTTTATGTGGGAGCTATACCGAAATGTGGTCCAAATTTGATAATTTTCGGTGGATTAATTTGCCACTCGATGGGAAACCAAAATATTAAATTACAATCAATTCGTTTGGAAAACTTGGCCAAAATCCTCAATATTTCGAAATTTGGAGGTTAGGTTTATATGGGAGCTATATCGAAATGTGGACCAATTGTTATAATTTTTCGTATGGAGATTTGCCACTCGATGGGAACCCGAAATATTAAATTACAATGAAATCGGTTGGAAAATGTGTTCAAAATCGTTCATATTTCGAAAATCGGACGTAAGGTTATAAAGGAACCTATAACTAAATATAAACCAATTTTGATCATTTTTGGTAGAGAGATTGTCTGCATAATGAGTATCCAAAATACCAAATTACAACCAAATCGATTGCAATTTGTGGTTAAAATCTTTAAAATTCGGAAATTTTAAGGGAATCATTAAAAGGGGGCTATGCCCAAAAATGGACCAATTTTGATAATTTTTAGTAGGGGGTTTTCCTACCCCATGAGAATCTAAAGTACCAAATTACAACCAAATCGATTGAGATTTGTGGTCAAATTCCTCAAAATAACGAAAATTTAAGGGTACCATTACAAGGGGGCTATACCCAAAGATGGTCCAATTTTGATATTTTTTGGTAGTTAGGTTTGCTACCCAATGAGTATTCAAAATACCAAATTACAACCAAATCGATTGCAATTTGTATATAAAATCTTTAAAATTCGGAAAATTTAAGGGTACCATTACAAGGGGGCAACAACCAAATATGGATGAATTTTGATAATTTTTAATGGGGAGTTTTGCTACCCCATGAGTATTCAAAATATCAATTTCCAGGCCAATCGGTTGAACATTTGTTGTCAAATTCTATTAAATACCAAAAATGGCCGGATACTTTTACATGGGGGCTATACTTAAAAGTGAACCAATTTTGATAATTATTTGGTGTAGAGATTCTGATTCTACAAAAAACAATATTGAAATAAAAATAAATAAAAATTATATACTTTTTTTGTATATACATACCAACACTTCCTGAAAATCCGATGTACTATCCTTACGTTTACTTTTGGTTATTTTATAGAGGGTCGATTCCACTGTTATAATATCACCTGGCTGCCAGCTATGTTCAACATTTGTAGCCTTTTCGAATAGACCAAAATAAATGATATTCAAATAATTATTGGTTAGAGTTTGACCCTTTTGCGTTACGGCATCCAACATGTTGTTGATTTTGAAATTGTTACGTTTTTTGTGATTGCGTGACATACGCTCCTTCATATAGCTAAGGGTGCGTTGAAGAAATATTGGACTGGTACCATGACGATTACGTAGAAAACGATATATTTGAGTGGGTTCTGTTTGGGGAAAGGAGGAGAATAGTGGTGATATTAGTGGAACCACAATGTTTTGAAATAAATACCCCTCGAATACTTACTTTCAAAGGCCTGTAAAAAGAGTTCCTGCTCCTGTTGATGGCCATTGATTTTGTTGTGTTGGTCTGTGTTTGTTGTGGTGGCCAAGGCGGCAGCTTCAGCCACTACGCCACCACCATTTCCATTCATCATTATATTCTGCTGATTATGATTGTTATTTGCCTGAGTGGCCAAATTATTATTGTTATGATTTGCTGTGGCATTTAAGGCATCCTTGTCTTTGCTGGCGGCTTCCTTTTCACGTTGTTTCTTTTGCGGTGGCATTTTTTTCATTTTTTCTGTTGTTTTTTTCCTCTTCTTTTTTCGCCAACAACGGCCAACAAACAAACAGGCAAGCACAAACACACACTCAGCTAGCCAGTCACTCACTCAGTCACAACAACACTGTTCTCTTGCTCTTTCTCTCTCTTTCCCACGCACACTAACACACAGCAAACTAACGCCAGACTTTGGTTAAAACACAGCAGAAAGTAAAAAACTACTTGCACAATGTGTTAAAATACTAAAACGTATCAAACTGCTTATTTCAAAAGAGATTCTCTTTTTATTCTCAGCTTCCCTGAGAGTTAATTATTTGTTAAAAAAAATAAAACTATTTTTATTTCTTTCAATGTTAAATTGCTTTGTAATACAGGCGCGCGAATTAAAAACACTCGACTCAACAGCAGACTAATGATATAGGGTTATGTAGATCGACTTTTGTATTATTACATTCTCGCTCTCTCTCTCTCTCTCTCCGTGTGTTCTTACGTCTTAATGGTTGCCATATGTTAAGGGAAGGTTATCGATTTTTGTTAAATCGATAACCATTGGAAAACAATAAAGGATTTTATAAAGACAATTTTAATGATTTATTTTATTAAAATAAATGTTTTATTTAAATAAAAACAAAAAAAAAAAAACAATTTTTTTTAATTGAAACAAAATCATTTAAAAATGCGAATAAAAATATTAACTATTTATGTTAAAAAACTGAAACAAATTAAAAAAAATGGAAACTGATGTCATTCGTTTTATTTATGGCGGTACCAAAATATATAAAATCGTTGACTATCTCGATGCTGTAGTTCTCAAGTTCTACAGTTGGTCCGAGTCTACTGGATGTCTTGCGCGTTGATACCATCAGCTTGGCCTTCTCGCCGTTTACTGCCAGAACCACTTTGGCAGACTTCTTTTCAATTTGTTGAAACGTGGCTGCTACCGCTCTCAGTGTTCGACCCATTATGTCGATGTCATCGGCGGCGTAGGCGAGTAACATGTGTTGTTTGGTGTACAGAGTGCCATTTCTGTTCACTTTTGCCTCTCGTATGACCTTCTCCAGCAGGATGTTACAAAGACAACACTACAAACTATCACCTTGTTTGAATCCTCGTTCGATATTGAAGGGCTCCAATAGGTCCTTTCCTACTTTAACTGCTGATCTTGTGCCACTTAAAGTTATCCTGCATTGTCGTATTAATTTTGCAGGAATACCAAACGCAAACACGACTTTATACACCTCTGAACGGATAGAGCTAGAGTCGAATACGGCTTTATAGTCGACGAATAGATGGAATGTGTTGATGTGTTTTTCCCAGTGGATTTGCCAGGTATGAAGCCGCATTGGTATGGTCCAATAATGTAAAGAGCTGGATAGCACTTTATATGCGACGGGCAGAAGGCTAATTCCTCTATAGTTGACACATATCGTCTTGTCTCCTTTTTTGTGCAGGGGACACAGGATGCTGAGGTTCCAATCTTTGGACATGCATTCTTCTAGCCAAATTGTAGTAATCAGCTGGTGCAAGCTCCTTACCAGCATCTGACCACCAGTCTTCGGACTTCATTCTGACTCCTGCGCATCTCGGTTTGCTCACGCTCTTTTGCTCTTGCCTCTTTTTTCTGAAAATACGTTTCTCCTCTCTCCTTTTCTCCCGACAATTCTCCATCGCATTACGCGTTGCTGCTGTCCGCAGGTTTGCCCTATACGCTGCGTTTTACATATCAGTAAGATTAAGACACTCCTGATCGTACCATGGATTTCTTGATGGTGGTCTTTGGTACCCAAGTTTTGCTTTTACTGCAGTTTGTAGGGAGCGGGCAATTCTCTGCCATTGTGCTTCTATATTATTATTGGGACAAGGGGTACTTACTTTGAATTCCGCCAAATCTTTTAGAATTTCATCTTCCGGTATGGATTTTATTTGTTGGATGTGGTTTCATAATAACGGGGACTACGTCGATATACTTTGCTTTCAAAAACTTTTCGTAAGCTTTGAGGTTATTGGCTTTAAACAGTAAATCTCCACGGGGAAGTTCTGATATCTCGGAGTAATCGCGACCGATATGTTGTTTGATACCACGTCCGATTTGAAAAATGTTGTGAGGAGGCTAGTGGCCTGACTTCGGGTGCGGGATTAGTAGCTGCGGCAGAAGCAATTAAAAATCTTGGCACATCGTCGTAATTGGGGATTTTCAGTTGGGAGAGACACAAAATCACTGATATCCAAACAAGATCTTTTATTTGTCCCGATCTGGATCAAATCCGTTTCGAATCACATTCTTAAGTACAATATATTTATTTAACAAAATGTAAAATACATACAGACATATATTTATATATATAAAATAAAATCGCTAAGTAACAAAAAAAAAAATTGTTGCATTGGAAGAAGAGGAAGCATTTAAAAAACTTTTTTTCTCTTAAAAAATAAAAAAATGTAAAAATTAGAATTAGAAATTAAAAATCCGTTAAGTATCACTTATGTTGTTGTTGTTCTGCCGCTAGCAACAATTGTTGTTGGTTTTGTATTCTTCTCATTTATTAACTGAGAAATTTCTCCAGGGACTTCTGAATCCGCCAACTCAACATCATCAATGTATGGTAAGGAAACCGGAGCAGCAGCACCATCATGACCCCCACCACCATCAGCAACATTGTGGACCTGCTCACCACCATTTTGTTCGACATCATGCGATTTTTTCAGATCCTTCAATTCCAGCGGATCCCTGGCATCTACGATGATGGGCGGTATTAAACAATTGCGGGACAGCAATAACCAAATCATTGACACCAACATCATGATGGAGGTTAAACCAAAGGTCCAGAACGTGCCCCAACGTGTATAAATGGAGCCAACAAATACGGGACCCAACACCCGGGACAAGCAGCCCGAACCTAAAAAAAACCAAAAATTTTAAATATATATTTTTTCCGAACTTCACAAAATCGTCTCTCTCACCCGTCATCAAACCCATCCACACACCCTGGGGACGAGGACCCAACACCTTGGAGAATATCGTCTGAATCAGGGTCACCCCAATTGGATAACCAATTGAGGTAAAGGCATAACCAATAATAAATTGCGACAGCGTGAGCGCCGGTGTAGTCTCACACCACTGCTGTTTGCGGGGACAACCCAAGAAGAGCTCATCATCTGGCTGCAGATCCATTGTGGCATTATAAACTTCAGCGATTTTGGGCGGTCCATCACCCCAAGGGATATAGAGGACCCGGCCCAATACCATTAGGGAGAAACCACCCCATATAAGCACCTGATTTTCGGGAAATATTTTACACAGCGGATTGATGGCGAGGAAGGTGATGAGGGCCACAATGGCGCCCACCGACATCAATATGCCCATATAGTGTAGGGCCTGTTCATTGGACCAGGCAAATTGATCCATGGTAAGGGAGGTGCCCAGGCTGGAATTTTGTACAAAAAAAATTAAATTTCAGAACAAAAAAAATTCGAAGCAACAACAACTCACGTCTCCAATAGCACAAAATTGAAAACCAATACAAAAAAAGCCACTATCAGGGTCCAGGCCGATATATAATTGGGTTTTATCGATTTCCAGGTTTCCTTTTCCGATGTTTTACCCTGCATGATCATGATTTCACGGGCAGCAACTCGACGTTCCTAGAAATAAAATTCAATGATAATGAACATTTAAAAAAAAAAAAGTTTCACATGAAACTTTCATGTCGGATGAATGTTTCTCATGGAACTTTCATGTCTGATGAAGGTTTCACATGAAACATTCATGTCTGATGAAAGTTTCACATGGAAGTTTCATGTCTGATGAAAGTTTCACAGGAAACTTTCAGATCTGATGAAAGTTTCACAGGAAACTTTCAGGTCTGATTAAAGTTTCACAGGAAACTTTCAGGCCTGAAAGCTTCTCGTGAAACTTTCATGTCAAATGAAAATTTCTCCTGAAATGTTCATGTCGGATGAAAATTTCGCACGAATCTCTCATGTCCGATGAAATTTTCCCATGAAACTTTCATGAAAGTTGCGCCATACTCACCTCAAATATGACCGGCATAAACATGATTAAATTCCCCACACTCATCACAACATTTATCCATCCGCATGCGGTATACATATTGAAGATTGCGCCGCCGCCGAACAACTGCAGGCCGTCCGAACCCAACGGTGTCACCAAAGCCTGTAGGCCAGGACCAATAATAAAACCCAAAACCTGAGCCAAAGAAATCATCGACACCGCATTGGTACGTTCACTGAGGCGGGTCGCATCCGACAAATACGAACGACACACGGCCGTATTTGAAGAACTCACACCGATTAAGAATCGTGATGCCAGCATCCAATATTTTACATTATCGGGCCTAAGTTCCAGCGAAGAATATATGGCACTGGCCACCGTGAAGAGGACCAGAGAGCATATCATTGGTAAGCGTATGGAGCGGATTTTATTGCTCCACCAACCGAACAGGGGGCTGAATATCATTTGACCCAGTGGATTGGCGGCGACAATGAAACCCATGAATTCTTTACCGGCGGCTGGATCTAGCTAAGCGAAATATAAATCAAAAAAAAAATGGTTATCATTAAAAAAAGGCCAGGTTCCGACTGAAGTTGATGATATTACCTTATTTAAATAGGGCCATATACCCGTTAGAACAATGCTAAAGGCCAGTGACATCAGGAACATGGTGAAATAGATGACACGCACCGAACGCCAACGGGCGCGATATTCTTCCAAGGTTTCAAGGCCATCGTTGACATTGTCGGGAATTTTTGTGGAGCGAAAACAATTTTTCAGTTTTTCCATTGTGTGGCAGGGGAGGAGTCAATGATTCTAGTCCTGCTAGCTAGCTGGCTCATTAAGTAAACAAAAATACAGAAGTCCTTCCAAAGGACCGGCAGCTTGATAAAGAGATCACAGATTCTGGAGGTTATGTTGACATTCTGAGGGAGAAAAACAAAAGAAAATAAGAGTGGTTAGAAGAGAATAGACAGGAGAAATCGAGCTCAATTGTTTGAAGCCATAAGTCTATGGAATAAAGTTTCGGAGGGATGAAGAACATAATAAGTGATGTGTTTGTGTGTAGTAGGACCTTGTGTGTAGTAGGACCTTACTTGAGCCATAAAGCAACGAATTTGCCTAGGAAGAAACATCTGTCACTATCCGAAATTACAGTATAATAGTTGAGGATTGATTAGGTTTATACTGAGCTCTCATGCAATTCGCTTCCAGGCTTCCTTACTCTTTGCCGATACCGTAATTTTACCTGTCTACTGTCGATTTATCATCAGCCAGGACTCTAGTGAACTATTTATAAATAAAATTCAAATTTTTTTACGAACATTTCAATTATAACTCCGGATCACCAACATCATTGCCGTTCAATGAGATAGAAGTCCAATAGAATTTGCTCCTAGGTTCGAGAGGGACTTAATTGGTTGGTCACAATTTATCTGACTTTTTCCGCTTTTGGGACTAATCTATTGTCTATTATTGTCGAGGGCCAGTGTCTGACTATGGCAGTCCATATGGTCTAGTGACGAGGATAACAACCACACGTCCCGCTGCTGATGTCACACTTCGTCTGAAGGGATGACTAAAACTAAAATCCATAATTTGTTTCTAAAAATGTCCATATAAATTTCCCATATGTTCTAGTGACGAGGATAACTAACTCACGTCCTGCAGGAGGTTTATTATTTCACGTGTCATAAATCAATTAAATCTCAAGTCCTTCGGAACCATCTGTAGTTTCGCCTCTTCGCCAAAGCCGAAATATTTAAAGGATTAATGTAAGCCATAGCTCTTTCAGTTTGAACTCTCTGCTGCAACGAAGGCTTCTCAAAACTTCTATGATTTTGTTCAAATTAAATTTCAGTATAAATTTCCCATATGGTCTAGTGACGAGGATAACTTACTCACATGTTCCGTTGCGGATCTCTCTCATTACATTTCCTATGATCCAGAGATTTTATATCATCGTTGCTATTGTATTTTAATATTTTTATAACAACGAAGGGTACCTTATTTATTTTTCGATCTTTGTCAGTGGCGGTCATCATTTAACCGATTCATTGTCAAGACTATTGCCTGTCACCCACATTCCACTATTACCAAGAGTCTTCATTGCCAAAGTCTCTTCCTGACTCAGCATTACTCATAGTTGGCAGATTAATTTCCTCACTCTCTCTCTCTTTCCTCTCCCAATAGGTTCTGCTGAGCTCAACATTAAGGTTATGTTATTTTGTTTTGAATACTACACAGCTATTCTTTATCATTTTGAAATAAATTTGTAAGTTTTATTTAAATATAGACCACAAAAACAACAACAACAATGTTGACACATTTCTCTATATCTTATTGAAATGAAACCATATTTCAAAATCCATTTGTTATCGTTTTAGAAATTACAGAAGGCCTGCTCAAGGAAATATTCTGAGCGAGAGCTAGAAGATTTTCTCAATTTGAATTAGATAATATTCCTATTGATGATCAAATGACCTACTCTTAGCAGTTCGGAAAGGCCTTAAGGTCCCACTTATTGGTCCTTAAAAAAATTCTAAAATTCTACTCCTCCAAGGTCTTCCGAACAAAGGCTGGAAGATTTTCTCAAAGAGGAAACTTGATAATATTCTCATTGCAGATCCAGCAGCCTAATCGTAGCAGTTCGGAAAGGTCTTAAGGTCCTAATTATTGGTCCATAAATAAATAAATTTCTTCAATTACTCCTCCAAGGTCTTTCGAACAAAGGCTGGACGATTTTCTCAAAGAAAAAATAGATAATATTCTCCAGATAGAAGATTCCAAAGCCGAAATAATAACAGGGTTCATGGTAAGCCGAAAAGCCGCCAACGAAACTTCAACTGTCTGCTGCAACGAAAGCTTCTTCTTCTTTCGAAAGGCCTTAAGGTCCCATATATTAGTTATTGAAAAATTAACCCATTCATATATTCCTCTAAGGTCTTCTGAACGGTGGTTAGAAGATTTTTCTTAAAGAAAATAAGATAATCTTTGCATTGAAGATCTCGAAGCCTATGCTTAGCATTTCAGAAAGGTTTTACGGTGCCACTTATTGGTGGTCTTTGAAAAAAAAATCCGCCACAATTATTCCGCCAAGGTCTTCTGAACAAAGGCTAGAGGCTTTGTCTCAAAGTGATTTAAGATCCTTCTCCAAGGTTTCTTCCTCCAAGGGGTCCAAGAAGAAAAAAAATCCAGCAAAGAAATGTCGATGCGAAATGGCATTCATTTTGGGCAACAATTAAGACCATCTCGAATCTATGAAGGATTCTGCGGCTCGTGAGTTTGGTATCCTTGTCACTAGAACATATGGGAAATTTATATTGAATTTTTTGGGGAAAAAAATTATGGATTTTAGCTTTAAATAGTTCAGAGAATTCTCCAGCCATAGCTTCAGATAACTATCTGCCAGTTCCTTAGCAGAAAGGAATCGAGTTAGGACGTCATTGATGCTGTGGAGCACGGGGAAGAACCTATGAAAATCAAAATGAGAAATCCACAGCGAAACGTGAGTTCTAGTTACCCTTGTCACTAGACCATATGGGAGATTTATATTGAGATGTTCCAAAAAAATTATGGATTTTATTTCCAAGAAGTTTAGAGAATTTCCCAGTAATCGCTTTAGAGAACTAACTACCTAGCGTGCAGATGAAGAAGTTTCAAACTCACAAAGGAAAACCCGCTGCCGATTTCAACAAACGAAATATCCGAAAAACCTATAAGGCATACCTTATCAAACGACAATCTCCTGTTATTGCCTACGATATGTTGACACGATATCCCTGTCCCATAACTGAAGAGGATTATCCACGAATTAGGTAGCACCTTAAAGTAGTGACGAAGTTCGAAATAAACTATCGGAATATGGCTTCAAGGGAATTCCTCCTCACGCACAGTTGAGGAATTTATGACGCTCCAGAGGCCGCCAGCTACTGTAAACAAAAGAGCGACGTGTAGAAGCTTCAAAATCCAACCAAAGAAGCATATCTATTAATTGGGTAACACTTTAAGGTTGTGACGAAGTAAAATGAAGACTATTCGTAAAAGGGAACTCCTCACGACGCTCCTGGCTGTTGAATATTTTTCTTATAAGACAACACATCGCAACACACCTCGGATTTTTTTTGCCTAATTGAATACCCCCGATAAGATATACTGAATATGGTTATTATTACACCTGGTCCCATGCTATGGCGGAGATAACAAAGGCACTTAGTATCAGAAACTACAAGTCATATACGAAAAAAAAATAGAATTTAAGTTAGTGACAGATTAAATAATAGCAACAACAACAAAAAACATAAACAATAAAAATAGTCAGGAGAATAAAAATAAATATTAGACGAGTTGAAATGTGAATAAACATTGAAGATAGTTTTTTTTAACTAATGTTTTCGCTATACCGATGCAAATTAGTAACTTCCTTTGGTCGATGACTTATAATGAAATTTTATGGAGAATATATTTCTCTGTTGTATTACTTCTCTAAAATGTAGTACTATGGGTCAAATCGGGTCATTTCGCAGCTACGTGAAAATGCCCGAGGAATGATAAAAAAAGTGCCAAATTTTGTTACCGACATTTTCTCGATTTCGACTTAAGTTAGAAATTTCTCCTGGTCGGTGACTAATAACGAAATTTTATGGAGAATATTTTTGACATCACTCGCCAAAAATGTAGTCCAGTGGGTCAAAATCGGGCCATTTCGAAAAGTGTGAAAATACCAAAGTAGCAATGACGTAGCAAATTTTTAAATTCGATTTTTCGCGATATCGATGCGAATAGGAAACTTCTTTAGTTCGGTGACTAATAGTGAAATTTTATGGAGAATATTTTTTAAGTTAACATGACTCTTCTAAAATGTAGTCCAGTGGGTCAAAATCGGTTCATTTCGAAAAGTGTGAAAATACCAAAGTAGCAATGACGTAGCAAATTTTTAAATATTTTTCCGATTTCGACCGAAGTTAGAAATTTCTATTGGTCGGTGACTAATAGTGAAATTTTATGGAGAATATTTTTTTCATTGGCATCATCCTCCAAAATGTAGGGCAGTGGGTCAAAATCGAATCATTTCGACAATAAGTGAAAATATCCAACGAACAATGATGTAGGGATTTCCTACTTAATATTTTTCCGATTTCGACTAAAGTTAGAAATTTCTACTGTTCGATGACTAATAGTGAAATTTTATGGAGAATATTTTTTAAGTTGACATCACTCTTCTAAAATGTAGTCCAGTGGGTCAAATCGGGACATTTCGAAAAGATGTATAAGTGCCAAAGGAGTTGAGGTGAATCAAATTTTGAAAATATCTTTTTCGCGATATAGATGCGTATAGGAGACTTCTTTAGTTCAATGACTAATAGTGAAATTTTATGGAAAATATTTTTTTCATTGTCATCACTCTCCCAAAATGTAGGGCAGTAGGTCAAAATGGGCCATTTCGAAAAGATGTGTAAGTGCCAAATGAGCTGTGATTTAGCAAATGTTGAAACTAATTTTTCGCGATATCGATGCGAGTTACAGACTTCTTTTGGTCGGTGACTAACAGTGAAATTTTATGGAGAATATTTTTTTTCAATGACATCCCTGTCCTAAAATGTAGTCCAGTGGGTCAAATCGGGCCATTTCGAAAAGTGTTAAAATACGAAAGTATCAATGACGTAGAAATTTTTGAAATTAAAATTTTCGCGATATCGATGCGAATTGGAGACTTCTTTAGTTCGGTGACTAATAGTGAAATTTTATGTACAATATTTGTTTCATTGACATCCGTGTCCTAAAATGTA